AAAATGTGTCATTTGTGTTGTAGCTCCATATAACTTATTAGTATCATTGTCATATACAGAGAGTTAGGCGTAGTGTAACATATAGGTTGCCCTGTAAAAGGGTTGCAGGTGTGTTTGGCTGAGGCTATACATTGCAGGGCTGTTTTCTATCACCTTGCACTTTGTCTTGTCATTTATATCAGAGCAAGTAGGTGTAAACTGCTGCTAATTTAGGGAGGTGGCAATGACTGCCTGAGGTGCAGACACAAGAGAATCAGACTTTATATCTGTAATACCCTATATTGCACTGCAGAATATGTTCCCTATTAATTTTTCTTTCAGTGTGCTTTTCAAATCAATAGGCACTTTTTGTGCTCTTTTTTTGCAGAAGAGCATACAGAGTCACTTTATCAAAACTTTTTTGATGACTTCGGTAAGAGTGCTTGAAACAAATGCAAAAGGAAGAGTTAAAAGAACAGTTAATAAAGTTTTTGGGTTGGTTTTTCTTTTTCTCTTAAAAAAGCATCCTTCGTTTTGTCTGGCATATGGACCTAAGACCCACACATTCTGTTGTGAGGGTATCACTAATGATGTGCTAGTTCTCAAGGATGTATCAGAGTGCTGCAGCTAACACCCGATAACACTGCTCACTCCAGTGCTGGCACACTTTGCCTGCTGAGTGCAAAAATCTCTGCTGAAACAGATCTGAAGCCAGAAGTGGGGATCTGCATTGACTTGCAGGACCATACAGCAAGTAGCATAAAAATCAATTCTCATTCATACCCCTCTTTTTCGGGACGCTAAGTAGCATGCGTGATCATTTCCGTCTTGAATGTCTTGTTTGTCCCCTCATTTCCTGTATACAGGAAATATAAATGTTACAAGTGTTTAGCCTTTTCCCTTTTTAAAGCATACTGGCTAGGCATTTTGGTAAGATTTTCCTTCTCTTTTTTTTCCTTCTCTTCCCCCCCACTCCCCCCACAGGACCAAAATTAAATAGAGTTCTTATATCTGATACATTGACAAAGGCTATGGAAGTTATAGTTAATATATTTTCTCTGAGATTGACCCTTCCTTAACTTCTGTTTTGTCAGAATAAACATACCCAGTTAAAACTATGAAAGTCTCAGAGTTAAGGCTGAATGTAGAACAGTATGAATCCAAAAGAGAACTACGGGGTGCACGTGCTTGTAGAGGTTGCTGGAAATAATTGCCTTTTCTTGTTTTTAATTCGTTTGCAGGCTGTGCTGGATTTCTGCAGAGAGAGAACTACTTTGTTGTTTACAAACTACAATATATAGCTAACATCTGGCACTAGGTCAGAGAGGCCGGTACACTACATTCTCTCTTTGCTCAGCTGGCCTCTTACTTAAACTGCTTGCTGTAGCTGGGATGTTTGTAGTTGTTTTCTCTTGTGATAGTAGTTTGTGTTGTACTACGTGGTCAAAAAGACATAGACAAGATTGTTTGTAGGTTTCTTTAATTAGACCAGTTTTAAAAAGTAGATAGTCTTTGAGTAGTATAAACTTTTCTCTAGACTAAGAGTAAGAATCTTGTAGTTGGAAGAACTCTAACCAAGAGTTTAGGACTGTGACTTTATTTTGCAAATTCTGTAACTACATAACGTTTAGCCTGATAGTTATAGGAGACTTAGAACTTCAAAGAGTGTTTTTTCCTTGACGTCTCCTCATCTAATCCTATCTTTACGCATAAAGATTAAAGGCCAGGAGGAGCTGACAGATTATTGACCTGGTCTCCTGTTTAAGGGTCAATTACATTTTGCCCAGCTACCACATAGGAGGTCCAGTAACTTGTGTTTGGCCGATATAAATTGCTCAGAGAGGTGTTCAGTTTTGATTGGCTGGCATCAAAAAATGGAAAATCCATTTACTTTGCTTGGTAGTAGCAGTTAATGATGCTCTCTGTTCAAAATGTATGCTCTGTTGCCCTTTGGAGTTCCTTCTGGTATCTTCTTCCACTCATTGCTCTTGCTTTTGTCTGCTATTTTAAAGAGCTACTCAGTACCTGGAATATTTTCCCTATGGTGTTACTTATATCCTGATTTCAACTCACTTTTCAATTTTTTTTTTATCATTGAAATTGACTGTAATATTTAAATCTCTTACTGGAGATATTTTCTCCAGTCAATTAAAAATGTTTGGCTTCGTCCTGTCACAATCCAGTTTTTCAGATTTTTTTTTCGTTACTTTTTTTAGGAGCTGTACCCATGTGCAGAGATGAAAAATTTCTTCCAACTGTTAGTTACTGTGTTTCCTGTTCAGCTAAGGATCACATTAGCGATTCTTTTCTCAGTACCTCATAAAGAGCCCCTGGGGCATTTTTGATCTTTTATGATTCCCAATTCCTTTCCAGAGTTGATCCCATCTCTGTAGGTATGACCTGCATTCCTCATCCCTAGGTAAGCATGAGGCTGTGTTGCAGTGCATGCTGTCAAGCTGACGCATTCAGATGAGTAAGCAAGGTGACTCCACAGGCCAGCCTGCCTCTTTTTTATCATCCCACCAATTTATGTTGCCTGAAAGCTTAAGCAGCAACAACGCTCTGTTTCTTCTCAGGTCACAAAACAGCCTTGGCCTGACTGACACGCTCACCAGCATTTCTCAACCACGTTTCTCTTGGGATAGGCCAGAGGTATGCTGAGTCCTTCTTGAGAAACCATTTTTTGCCATCTCTGAGGATGTGTTTACGTACATGGGTGTGGACAGTCACTTTTCATCTCTGTCGTGCTCGAAGGTGGCTGGAGACATGACCTTGGTCTTGCTATATACCTGCATTCATGTTACCCTCATGTACCCCACGTAACCCAGAGGGTACTATAACATGTAGACTGGCCTAGCATGATGCTGATGAGAAGACATGTTTGACTGAAGGCTCCACTGGCCACAACAGGCTTTAACCCAGTTGCCTGAGTATAGGTACCTAGTTCCAGCTGCCCTAGGGTCACCCGAGGTAGTTGTCTTGCCACGTTATACCACGCATCCCTCAGGATTTTATCCGGAGTGAAGCACAGTGCCTCTGTTGAGGTGACTGGATCAAATACACTGCTATATGCACTTAAAAACATAGAAAAAATGTTGGTTACAAGGGACCTCTGGAGGTTTCCAGTCCAGTCTCTGCTCTAGGAAGGACCAACTTCAAATCTAGAAAAAATTGTTCAGGGTGTTGTCTAGTTGAACTTGCCTGTCTAAACACACCGGTTCTAAATCTGTCAAGGGCATCTTTAATCAGAATTTCACAGGGAAATTTTAAGTCCAATCCCTTATAATATCAAATTGTTTTGCATCCACAAAGTTATCACTGCTAATCAAAATGGTAATCTTCTCAAATAATGAAAAAATGACTGCATTCATTATGTATTTATTCAGTAAATCATTATAATGAGCTGTTTTATCTCAGGATTGGCAAATTGTTCAAGGCATTGACTGAACTTTTGTGTAAAACTTGCTATCAACTGATCCAAACCAAACCTACCTCGTGACAGAGGTTTTCTTTGCTGCCTCATTTGTTTCATGAACCTCTGCACCTCTGGCTTATGCCTGGAAGTGAAAATGCTCTAATATCTTGTTCCTATGCTGATTGCAGCAGAGCCAGAGCCAGGTGCTGCTGGAACTCCAACACGATGCTGTGCGTATTCATCTCCTGAAAGCTGCCAGTAGCAGCCACTTGACCAACAGTGATTTGAAGGTCGTTACTGAGAAGAACAGTGAAGCAATGCAGTTGAACCACTGCAGTTCTCGTGGAAGTGTAATAGTCATCTAGAGTAAACAAGAACATTGCGTTTAAGGTTTCGTCAGAACAGGCTTTGCACAAAGATTACTAGGGTACTCTTTCTTTTTTTTCTTCCTTTTTCTAACTTGAAAGGGATAACAAGGCCTGCCAAGACTATAGATCTCTATTTCCAAGCCCTGATGCTTTCTTGGCCTCTGAACCAGATCTTTTATCTTGATGCCTGCCTTCCTACCCTTTATGAAAGGTGTCAGAAAGAAGCAGTGTAATTTCCTAGTCAGTAATGAAAAATCATTTGGGGAGTTTTGGAGCTTTTTTACCAGCTTACCACAGATGCTGTATGGGAAAGTCTGGAGTTACAGCTAGGCAGATCTAGCAGCTATTGTCTGTTATATATTATAACAGCTAATCCAAGTCCTGCTCATCTTTCCCTCCTGTCCTTGGTCTCCTGCTTGTGCTTATCGGACACCAAAGTGAGCCAGTTCAGAGAGCTTAAACCAACAGAAAAAGTACTCACTTTTCTTTTTCCTTTGTAGCGTTTCTTTGCTCTTTCTACTAGTTTACTTCCTTCGTTTGCTAACTGGACCGAGACTGTGGTTTCACAATAATTTTGGATTCAAATAAATACGTGCTGCTTGAAGTGAAGGTGTTGCCCCCCTGCCCACCCCTGCTTGTGCTGTCACTGGAACTCATGCAGCCTGTGTGGGGAGTCACGCCTCAGTGCTGATCTGGAGGAAAGTCATATCCCCCTGCTGCTTTTTTTTTTTTTTTTCAGGTTAGTTTGGAGGTGGTTTCCTGATATGGCTTGCTGCATGGTTGTAAAAGTACTAGCAGGAGGGAGTAGGACCTCCTTTTGCCAGTATCTTCTACTTGAGAGACTGTGAAAGGGCTGCTTCAGTTATGCTCATGTTAATCTAGACCTGTTCCGCTGAAACTAGAGCATTTATTCTGTGTCTACTCTGATGTAAATGAGATCAGAATCCAGCCCAATGGAAAGAAAACGTTGCATGAGAAAAGATGTGAAGGATGGAAAAACTGGAAGGCAGTCCTGTTCAACAGTCTTTTTTCTTTCAATGAAATGGAGTTTGATCTGAATAAGTTGTAGAACAGTCCTGCTCATTAAGTTAGTTACCTTTTTTTCAGGTGAAGAGGCATTTTAAGATGGCACATCAAAGGGCAAATACACCCTAATGACATAATTAGCTGGGCTTTTAGTTGAATATCCCATTTAGAAAACACATTCTTCTGACTTGTTTTTTTTCTTCCGCTCACAGAGCTCAGCCAATGTGTCAGAATCAATGTGCTGCCAACCTCTACCTCATCATCCAAGTAAACACATGAAGTCCCAAAAAGAAACTGAGCAAATATTTCCTAAGGTAAGTGTGAAAATCCCAGCCCTTGCTGAGTCCTTTCAGCTGACTTTCTCTGTAAAAGTACTGAGTTGAATGTATGGAATAAAGGACGCGTTTGTCTGCAATGTTTCTAGTGGCCTTACTGGAGTCACAATTAGTACCCGTTTTGATGCAGAGTTACTCATAAGTCAGTGAGTGGTTTGGTTTGGCCTCAAAACTCTCAGCTGATTTTTTCTGCAGTGAAAAGTTATCTGAACTAAAAGGCAAAATGTTCGTTAAGTTGTAGATCCCCACCTGTTAAAGTGGCAGTTCTGTTATAACTATCTTTTTAATAGCTCTCTCATTTGTCTTTTCTAAATTAAAAAATCTTACCGAGTCATTCAATGCCCAGTTTCTGGTTTTAATCATACTTTATTTGTATGCACATAAGGTATAAGAGGGGAAGTCCAGGCCTGCACAACAGGAGGGTAATGTATCACTTGAGTTGTGAAAATTCTGCCCATGCTCTGCACGTAAGGAGGGATTTCAGCTGGTGGTATATGTCACTGGTGGTATACAAATCATCTCAGAGTGGCATGTGGCTGGAAGCTGCAGTTGCTGCTGCCCCTAGGTGGGATGGGGAAAGCAGAGATGAGGGTGGCAGAGCGAGCTTGAAAGAGCAGCTCCAGTTGGATGCTCAGTAGCTGAACCCAGACAGCATTCTTGAATGCCTGTGGAGGTGTGCAGTGAGCACACCTGGAGTTGACACAGTGAGATACTTCCTTCTTGAGGCTTGTAGTCAGCTTTCCCAGACTGTGATCTGAGGCATTTCAAAGGGGACTGTGGTGCAGCAAAAACCAAGATGTTGCTTGTGGCTCTCACTGTTGCTTCCAGTACCCAGAAAAAAAAAAAAAGTTTTGGAATCTCAAACTAAAGAAACCTACAGATTTCCAGAGAAAAGCAGAACCTGAAAATTAATCTAAGGTAAATCTATTGCCTCAATTATTTTAATATTTGAGCACCTCATAATCCTGATCATTGCATGTGTGTTTTGTTGCAGCCCCTCATTGTGAGACGGGGATTGTACTGCCATCCCCATCAGAGAGGAGTTCTGGTGCACAAAGACTGTGTAGGGCTGAGGGCCACTGAAGAGATGGGTGGCAGAGCAGATAATTTACCATAGCATTCTGCCGCGCCCACCCACCAAGTACAATATCCCTCCGCTTTTCGGTTTCTAACTTGCATTTTTTATTTTGCTATGCAATCACTAAGCCTGGCTTATGGCACTCCAGAATTGCAAGATCAGAACTTATTTCTTGGAAAGCTGATGACAGAGTAGTTTTCATGAACCATGTAACATATGTTTGGGAAGACATTTTTGGGTGTCACAGGCATGATGAGAAAGGCCAGTTCATGTAATTAGGTGGCTTGTGAGTACACACAAAGCATACTGAGATTCTGCTGAGTTTAAAAGATTTTGTTTCTCACACTTTGCTGTTAAAATGTATCCCCTCAAACAGAAGGGGGAGGTCATTACAAACTGCTGTGGGATGGATAAGCAGCGATAAGTCTGGTGGTCAAAAAAGCAGTTATTCATGAGCTCACCTTACTCTTCCTTCTAACAGCTGGGAAACAAGTTTCTAGCAAAAAATATATGGGGTTACTGCCTCCACTATGTCTCTTTCTCCATTTTGCTGCTCGACATGGGTACTCCCAGTTCTTTTCCTGAATTAGGTTTTGAGCTTTGTTTCGGTTGCTTTTTGGGTACAAGCCCATCTTTGTGGAGTCCTAGGATGAGCAACGTGTGTTTTTTATTTGTGTACTGAAGGTACTGGCACCATTACCACGGCTGTTACTGAAAGAGAGGAGAGACAGCATCTTACATGTGCAAAGTTCCCTTGAATTTCTGTTGTCAAAACTGGCTTTAGGAGCAGCCAGAAACAAATGCACTTCATTCTCTAAAGCTCCTTGGAAAGTGAGCCTAATGCAGATCCTCCTTCCAGCAAAGCCCTGCCATGACAATTTTAAACAAGTTTTAATTGCAGGCATGAAGGAAACCAAGCTGCATTTCTCAGTGTTGCAAACTACAAGCTCCATTCTCATCCATACTGACCTTTTTAAAGAATTTCCTGCTATGTTATATAGCTCTAGCTGCCACTGAGTAGCACAAGCAAATGTTAGAGTGATAGCAGAGGCAGGATGCTCCTGCTTCTGGTTCATCTGGGGCTGGCTCTCCTCTTCTTCAGGTTTGTGATTGTTTCCAGTCCTGGTTTAAGTTTCCGGGAACTGCTGTATCAGGAATGGTTGTTTGAAGGAAATATGGTAGTAGAAAAAAAAAATGTGTACTATGGTTGCCTGAAATTCATCTATTGCTACTTGCCGTAGGGGGCATATCCCTCCTTTCGGTCCAGATGGATACGGAGGTCCAGAACTAGATTTACATCTTTGAGCTTTGGGCAGTGCCCAGCAACACTAACTATATCTTTAGGAGCTGTAGAATTAAAAATTGTAGCTCTCTTATATTTAGCAAACTTACAGATTGCTAAACTTTTGAAGTAAATAGTTGATGTGCAGATGAGCAGCAGAGATGATAATGCAGCCTCCACTTGTCTGCCTGAGTAGCTCCTGTTACACTTTTTATCCCCTCATAATACCTTGCTCACTCCTGCTTCCCTCAGCCCTTATCTGCTCATCTGTCATTAGCACCAAAATACTGCCCAGCTTTAAAATGCTGATGCAAAGGGCCTTAGTTAAAGAAGAGATGCCTAAAGATTAGGGTGCTAGAGGACCTAGGACTTAGAGGCTGCAGAAGAGCTGAATGTGCTATAGCCAGCTATGGGCCTGGGAATGGAGTTTAAGCCCAGCTGCAACTGTTCAGGCTCTGACCTCAGTAGGAAGTTGTGGCACTAAACATTTTGTTAAAACTGGGCCATACTTCAAGATCTGCAAGTTTAAGTTCCATTGATTCTGAATGGCACAGAATACCCTCTGTCACTTGCGCACTCTCAAAAATGTTGCCTGTAGGCAATTAATTTCAGGCACCTATTTTGGAAAATCTCAAGCTGGAGTTGTTTAAAGTTGTTCTTTGGTGAGCGTGCAGATCCGCTGGGTGCAGCTCAGGCAACAGCAGTGTTTAAAATAAAGAAGGCTTTTAAGTGATTTAAGTGGTCAAGATTTTTAAGTGATTTTTATAAGCTAAGAGTTTTAGCTATTAATTATTAAATTGTTTAGTATTTTAAGAACAGCAAACTGTTGCGCTTTATCCTGTTTATTTTTGCAAGAGTAGCAGCAGCAGCAGCAGTCAGTCCTTTCTGCCTTCATTGCCCCAATGTAAATAGATGCAGGAATTCCAGATTAAAATTTGTGACATAAGCCAGCCCCAAATGATATGACTTTTGTTTTCCCCTCTGAAGTTCACATAATTGGAACTGGCTGCCTATCATTGAATAAAATCATTGAATGATTTAATGGGAGGTTAAATGAAAAGTAAGAGTTTTCATACTGGTGTGATGCAACTCTTGTGCCCAATTAAAGCCTCAAAGCATTTTTTAAAAGCTGTATAAAAGGTGAATCATTTCTGTAAACAGCCCTTAAAGTGAAAACCCAACACCTTTGCTGTGGGAGCAGTAATACGGCCTCGAATACCTTTGCAAACAAAGAGTCGCTTGCCTTCTGCGAGCTGCTCTCTTTCTTCAGCAGCTCAGCATGGGGTGCCAGAAAAATCATTAACGGGCCCATCTTGCACTTCCCTCTTTTCCACACCTGCATATCACGATCCCTGCTGTAACTTTATGGACCGTGAGGAGGCAGGTTTGACGCCATGAAACACAGGCTCAGCCAACAGCTGCAGGATGGGCAGAAAGCCAGACAGTAAAATGTAAAGAGGAGGAAGGAGAGGGATCACCTTTGAAGTCTACAAAAAGGCATGACTTTGACCACTTCCTTTTTTAATTAGCTGTCTCAGGTACATTAAGCTATTGGCCACCAGTTTGAATGTAAAGGGAGGGAGTCTGGAAATGCTGAAGGTAATACTGTAAGCAAAGTGTATGGTTTCCTCTCTATGTAGCTATTCTTCTCTCCTTTTTTCTTTAACCTTTTTTTGGTTAAGTTTAACATACGAGCATGAATGTCAGGGGAAACAGTTTATTCCATTTGGGAATCCCTGAACTAAAGCTAAAACCTGTCTTACAAGCGTGAAAAAACACATTAATGCAGCGTTAAAAGTTAGGATTTTGATCACACGCTAGCCAGGAAGTTCATAGTTACCATTCCCATAGTAACTGTAACACAGCTCCACGGCAAATAGGTAGATTTTTTTTTTTTATATATTAATTTATATGGTGTTAACTTTTGGTCAATATCTTTGCTTGAGGAAGTTGCTTTTGGTTCCCTTTACTGTAATTGAAAGGCTAATCTGAAGGATCATATAGAGGAATTGCAGTCGCTGTAGGGACCAAACTTCCATATGTCTTCAAGAGGCCCAAAAGTTCATTTTGGACTAGTATGTTCTGTGCGCTTTCTATTCACATTAAAGTGTGTTTAAGGAAATGGATGAAGAGAAAACAGAAACAGTAGTTGTTCATGCCTGTAGAAACTACATTCATTTAATTGCAAGATTGTAAATCAAGACTAAGTACATTGATGCTGAAAGTCTATGTTAGGGTCAGATCCTTAAACGTAGGAGTGCTTTTTCTAAGATGTGCTTTCTGACTAAAAAGAGTTGCACTTAAACATGCTTTAAGCATAAGGAAATCTATTTGTGCCCATACAGGGAAATCGAACAATTGCTTCTTGTAAGGGGGATTCAAATTTTTTGCATGTTCTTGCTTATGCAACTATAGTGACATCTCATGGTAGTGTTAAGAGACCTGCAAATTCAAAATATCTTTTATTTCTGCTGCAAATTTGGCAAAGGTATTCTATTTCATATGCAGCTAGTATTCCAAATGGAAGACTGACATTGAAAAGAAAAAAGGAAGACGAAATATATTTTGAAGTGCTGCAGATTCTCTCAGAAAGCAGATCAAAATATGGTGTAACTGATAATTTTAATAGTAAATATAACATTTTAGTAATTCAGAACTATCTGAATGAGCTGTCCGTCAGGCTGAGAAGTTGTATGAGACAATTAAAAGACCATACAATCAACTGATTACGTTCAGCAG